GGAGGACTTCCCACTGACCTTGAACAGCATTTGCTGAACAGCATAGTATGTATCTAGCCAAACATTTCCAAAGCATTAAACAGTTCCATGTCACAACTACTGCAAAAATCATTTGCATTTGCAACCCTCAATATTTACTCCAATACCTGCTATAAGGTCAGTTATTCTCCTTTATATTTTTTTCAGTTTCATGCTCAATTACTGGGACCTTACACAAGACTGACATTAAAATCTGTATGTTCCTAAGCACATAATGAGAGTTCCCAATCAATTTTCATTTCTCAAAAAAGGGAGCAAGACCTTTCCTGTCAGCTGCAAGAGGCTTTGCTACAGAGTCCTATTACGCTATCTGCTCCCAGACTGGCACCCACGGTTTGTAGGGCGTAGAAGGGTAACAGCTGCAAAATGCAGCAGCGATTGACTGTACAGGCAGGGTATGCATCTGTGCGCTGGCTCAGAAGTCAGCTACCTTCAATAGGCCAGGTCTGGCTGCTGCCTGGGATTTGGGTCTGTCCCACAGGCAGGCCGGGGTCTGCGCTTGGCAGCGTGGCACTGCAGTGGGACCGAAGTACCCTGTTGATTGAGCGCAGATTGCAGACAAGCCTTGAGGCTTCGACGGTGTCCAGGGAAAACAGCTGGCTTTGATTTGGCACCGCCTGCCTACCTGCCTGATCTATTTATGGTAGCTCAAGCTGAATAACTTTGTGGCTTTATTTACCAGCAAAGAAAGGCTGCTCCTCCGCTGGCAGCGCGCCATTCAGTAACGAGCTCTGCTCCTCTCCTCTGAGATTTGTGGGCTTTGTCTGGATAGAAAAGTTGCAAAAGGACAACTGCAGCGTAGGGAACATCCAGAAAGCAACTGACCTTCACCGTATCCCCAGCCTGGTGCAGTTGACAAGTTCTTTTTCAGTCCCTGAAGAGATTGCTTCTGTTTGTTTTGCAGGGGAAATGTTACTGTGGTATTTGCTTGCTCTTCCTTTAAATAGGCATAAAGCATTCTAAAATGCTAGATCCATTTTGTAAATTCTAACAACTTCCTTCCTGCTATTTCTGGGTTTTTCCCTATGAATGAGAAATTTTCATGGTATTTCAGACTACAGTCAGAGATGCAAATCCTTCATCCTCATGTGGCACAGGGTAAAAGCTGCTACATTGCTATTTCAGGTGACTAGCATTATTTTTAATCAGGAATTTAGAACCTCAGTATTTTCGAAAACCCTAAAAAATTCACATATTTTGCTAGCCTGAAAAGAAAGTACTCTGAACTGTATAACAGTTGTCAGTAGGAGGGTGTAAGTAGGGTGTTAACTACTTAGTTGAATATATGTAAAACTGCAGAGGAATATTATTTTTACGTGGTTTTAGCCAAGATTTAACATATTACCAAGCATTATGGTTGAAAAAGCACCTACTAATGTTTAAGGCCTTCATACTGTGGATACAGTTTTGCTATTTCTTCTTCCATTTTACTGCTTTGGAAACATTACTGAAATGTTGTTGAACACAGTGGATATTTATGTCATCGAGGAATAAATTATTATTATGCTTTCATTTCCCAGACCGCAGGTGCCCCCTTCAAACATTTACCATGTTTGCTTTGCTATATCAAACTGGTAAGCCCTAGTTAATTCATCAAGGTGGGCTTGAAGCATTGGCTGCATCTCCTCTCGTGGAGAAGGTGTGAGGGTTGCAGTTGACTGTTGCCCAAAGGAGATCGCAGGTGATGAAGCTACTCCTCGGACAGGAGGTGTGGGAACACGGTCATCGTCTTCTTCAAGCTCATCCTCCATGCCCTGATGTAGGTACGTCTGAACTGGCAAAGGCGGACACCAACCATCACTGTCATATCTAAAATAAAAAACAAGGAAACTTAGTATATATCAAACCTCATCTCTCACGTGCAGTAAGGGGTACACAGGATTGCTGCTACTGGTTGAACCCTCGCACACAGTGTGAGCTTTAACATTTATTGAAAACAGGATCATAATTGCTTAAATTCTCCTTATTGAGTCTGTTTAATTTTTCCCACAACTGCTAAGCAACTTGAACAAGATGTGCAACAAAAAAATTACCAGTCCATTATCTCATTTGTTAATGGTGATTAGACAATATTATGCCACAATCAACAACAAAAATGAACTCACTCACTTCCTGGATCGTTAACCTAGCAGAACGCACGGAGATTGACCTAGACCTGAAAATAACAGCACTTAAAAGACAGAGCGAGCTTTACGTAGTTGCATTTATGCACTTCCTTATTCCCATCCTCCTTTTTGTTGGTTTATAAATTTACTATTTTTTTATTTTGTAGCTTAAATAAAAACCACACTTACCACACTGCATATGGGTATCTACTGTGATGTGTAATACGTTCATGTCGCAGCAGCACTGACCCTAAGCATATGCTATGTCACAGCACCAGCTGATAAGATACATTAGCACACATGTTGACAGCTCTGCCAGCACCCCACCTCCTAACCAATCTTTACTGGGACTTACCTAGACAGTGTTAAATTTCTGAACACTTTCAACACACCTGCCCAAAGTAAATTAAAAGATTAACAACTACCAATATTCTTCAACACCAAATTCTTCTCTCTTCTCCTATAGGAGACGTTCTGATAGGTTTTTGTGCTTCAATTTTTAGTCTTATACCAAAAGTGTAAGAGGTGCTGCTACATCTGGTCAGGGCTAGAAACAGAAGCTTTATATTCTACTACCGCTTCTTATGTAAGCTTTTGCAACAACGCAATCCTTTTCTGTTTCTGTCCTCATCACAGACCTTTCAATTCAGTGTTCTATTACAGTATCGTGCCAGGACTCTGTCCCTTAGAGACACCAGCATCAGCCAAGACACATGGGCCCTAGTGACTGTGGTCATTCCCTGTGCATTATCTCTCCAGAGTTTGTCTGAAGTTTATCTGAACACTTCAGTTGTGCACAGCTCTGCTGACAATCACACCACTCAAATCTCAACACTGTCTACTCTTCCCATCTTCAAAACATCCAGTCTGTCTGCAGTCTCTTGAGCATCTGCACACATTTCTTCTTAACTCCCAGCATATTCCAAGATACCTCAGCTTAGAAAGCTCTTTTCAAAAGACAACCAGTCAACCAAAAGCTCTCACAGCTCCTTCACTGTCAAACCATCTCACACTCTAAAGGCCATTCCCCAAGCATCATCTAAGTCACTTTATCTTCTTTCCAACTTCAAGGGCTGCTGACAAGGTACACCCCTTGTGTCTGCAATGCAGTCAGGCAATGCATTGTGTTGTACAAGTAATTTCTCAAACCAGTTTAAAAATACTCCTTTAAGGCTCCTGATTTGGAAGGAAGGAATTACCAGTTTCCCAGAGAAAAATGAATCACTGCCAATTTTCTCAAGTGTGAAGCTGGGTTAGGAAAAGGCTGGGAACACTGAGACAGAGACGTTTCAAAACCTATACTATGAACAGAACATTTACTTTAAGCAAAACCCAAAGATTTCTAAAATTAACTAAACTACTTTTTCCTTATTCAAAACTCTGTAGTCTGTATTTAAAAGTACAGATTCAGGATAGCTAAAACAACCTGACTTAATAATCCAAAAGTCTGTGGAAGATATATATTGTAATTAAAGCCGGTATCCCTTTAAATCTATATCTAGATATGATCATATATAGATATACAAACATACATTCGTGTACAGAGGTGCAAATAAATGCTGCATCTTAACACTTGGCATTTAGGAGCTTTTGAGTGAATGATCATTACCATTTTCATAACACAGAGATTTAAGAAAATGTTGCATGGTACATATTCAATTCCTTAGGAGACAATTAGGATATGACTAACTCAAATTTATCTTTCCTTGCAATATTCACTCATGACATTACCACTGAAGGGTGAAGGGACCATCCTAACTCATGCTGCTAAAAATGTACAGTGCAACAGCTCTGTCACTTACTTTTACTCTCTCAACCTCATCCTTTGGTGTAATGGCTGCTGTTTTAAAAGGGACAGGGCAGAAAGACACTCCTTAGTGACTTTTCAGTAATGCATAAATGAGCTTTGGATGTGCTCGCCTTTTGACCCTACTCACTTCAAATCCCCAAATGTTCAGCCTGATAGTAAAAAGATTTCTTAGTAAAAAGATTTCTTGGTAAAAAGATTCTGCACAAGCACCATATCTTTACCTAGATTTTGTTTGAAATGGAAAGGAGCCTAAGCCTGAAGTTCAGGACATTGAGATTCAAGATTCCAGGTACAAGAACCTTTGTCCTCATAATGTAAGATGTCCAAAAAGCCACCAGTTCTAACCTGCATTTTACAAAAAAAACCCAAAAACCAAAACCCAAACAAACAAAAAAAATCAAACAAAGAAAACAAAATCAAACAAAGAAAAAGCTAGCAAACCTAATGCACTACATAGTAACTACATCTCATAGATGATGCGGTTATTGAAACTTCTGGAACCAGCATAGTGAATATTGATCACATCCTTGTTCTTTTTGGTTTTCTGAATAGATACAACTTGGCGAAAATGCATGCGACCTTTTTTCAAGTACTTCTTATTAAAACCTAAGCACCTTCACTTCACTAGGGACCTCTGATTGTAATTTCATGATAATTAAGTCTCTAAGTAAGTTCTGGTTAACAAACATCACTCTCTATGTTTCTAATAATTTTTATTGTGTTCTCAGCACTTTTATTCTATAGTAATCTTTTGCTATCAAAAAGCTTCGTTCATTACATTGATAGATTTTTTCCTTCAAAATAAAAAATAGTTGTGATAGATAAGGGGCACATTCTACAATTCTGTTTCATTACACACATTGTTGGAACAAAGAAAGCTTCCCTTTCTATGCCTTACCAGAAAGCTTTTGATGATGTAAAAGGTATTACCTTCTTTACTTTTTCCCAAACCAGAAAATGACTATCAAATATATTGACATCCAGCAGGTAGTATTCCATTTTAAGGTGGAATCAATAGTAAGAAATAAAAATAACAAATTATAACAATATGAAGACTGCCTTTACTGGGGATGGCTCAAGATTGGGCATATTATTGGTGAAAAAATGTAAGTAGATTATAGTGAATAATGAATAAGTAATAAACATTTCCTTACTGTCAAGTTTATTAGATACAACCAAGTAAAAACATCTTCTCTGAAAAGGGCGGGAAAGGGAACGTGCTTCATTAGGAGCTACTACAGGAAAAGAGAAACTTCAAAGACTCGGCAGTATATAGAAGAGAAAATTAAGGAAGACAACAAGGAACAGGCACAGTTTGTAGAAGACCACAAAAAAGGGGAAAGTTTCACAGGAAAGAGCTTGCTAGGGAAACAACACTATAAACAGACTTTCTCCACAGATTAAATAGGAATTTAAGACATCCCAAAAGCCACCACATTATACAAAATGGCTGCTTGGATTAACATGTTCACCTTTCCTTATGTTTGTTGCAGTTCATGGGAAAAAGGAGGTGAATGCAAACCTCAGTTCTTCTTGGGAGAAGATGGTAGAAAGAACTGCAAACATAATTTTTTTTTCATCCTTACCTATGATTAAGTTAGGTGACTTTCTTTCACTTGCTGCTATGATGGATTTTCTTTTACAATTTATAAGCCAATAGGCCACTAGTGTTAATTTCTAGTAAGCAAAATAAGGTGTCAAAATTGTTTCATTTATTTGGGATACTCATGCCAATGAAACTCACACTTGAATTCAAGTGCTATAGGAAGACTTGCACAGAAAAATAAGTCTCTGTTTAGATGCCAGCTCCCTTATTTTATTGCTCTAAACATTCACCTTTCATATCATATTGTAAGAACTTTTAATAAAGTCTTCAGTTTTTCTGACTGGAAGATAATTTTTCAATTGTGATTCACAATATAATTATATTTGCATGTAATTAATTCTAAAATTAAAACATATTCAACTTGTCATACATAGTATACATCAAAGCAAATCAAGAAAAACAGAACAGTTTAAAAAATTGCTTGCTTTTTTTTTTACCCAGTATGTCAATATTAAAGGCAACCTAAGGAATGCAGTCTATGATTCATTCCATTTTAGCATGTTGAAAACCACAGAAACAAGATGAACTCCTGAATACAGAATGACCATTAGTATTGGATACATCCTCAGGAAGTATGGGCACTGCAGATTCATTGGGTTAAGCACAGTTGGTTCCAAATTACTGTAGTTCAAGACTGATACTGTATGTCTAATCTTCAATTTTTTTGTGTGTTTGGTAAAATACACATTAGAAGGTCTTGTACAACCACTATTAATGAAATATTGCAAAACACAGAGAAGAGTAATTCAAAAGGTAATCCAAGGAAAAACTAAGTCTGAATTGCTAGGAACCTGGAAGGCTGGTGATTACCTTATCCTTAAACAACCAGTATTGTCTTGGTGACCAATATCTTTCCTTCCACCTCAATAACAGATACTTTATGCAACTGAGGAGTCAAGCCCTGTGTCACAAGGGATTTCTCTAGAAGGTATTTCCATTTACCTTTTATGTTATTTCATTGTCCTGAAAGAAAATCCAAGTTGTTTGCCTTCTGTAACGTAATTATTTTAGTGAAATGGCTGCACAGGTGTTTTAAGGATATAAACTGATAAAGACAAATATCATATGGCGAAAACATCTTAAATTTCTTTTAGCCTTTTATAACAGAATACAGAACATAATGATTATATGCACTTTTTGCCTTGACTTTTAAACAACACTTACAATCAGTAAGGTTATTAATTTTCCCTTGCATTTGCTTTCAAATTCTAATAAAATCTGAATGGACCTTCATTTTAAAAGGAACTCCACTGACTTACACAGTTAGTTATTATTCATTTTAAGAGTTAAAGGACTTGGTATAAACTCAAATATTAATATTTAATTCTTCTAAATTTCATTATAAAAGTAGTCATGATCAATTCATGCTTCCAAAAGAGATAACACATGAAATATTTTTATTCAGTAAAGCTATTACAATGATTTTTAAAACATATGTTTCATCCTTAGAAGATATTGATTAATCCATGAATTTAAACAGGCAGAAATTTGTCCCTGTCAGTACAATGATTCTCAAAGGCTCCAACAGAGCTGACCAGAGTAAACTATTTTTCTGTATAAAATCTGATTTTCTTCCAGAGTTTGATAACATGGTATTTCATATAAATTCACTTTTTAAAAAGCATTCCATAATTGTTCTTTGTGCAGGAAATGTCTCTTTCCTCTCATTTAGTGCTTTTCGTGTGATTTTCTGTCCTTGAGAACAAGTTTAAGCTATCCAAAAATAAGTGTAAGGTTCCAGAATCTCAAAAGTTGTTTAAATAATAAAAAATGGCCTATAAATAGCATGCCTTCTTCAACTGCGAAATTTCTTCTAAAAGCCGATGAGAAGATTATTGTCCACTGGTTGATCTTCTAAAATTAATCCAATTTAGCGTGAATTTTTTTGTTCTGTTGGCTCTAATATTTTTAAACATCAAAGCAGTGAAAAAATACAAGGAGCCAGATTATGTCATCCTTACTCACTCTGAGTCCCATCATTTGCAAGCAGTCCCAACAGAATTCAATCAAGCTACCTATGAAGTGAGATACTTCTCAGCATGAGTAAGCAGAGAAGCCCTACACGGTGGTGAAGCAAGGTCACTTTGATTTCCATCTTCAGTCACTATCATGAGAAGCTATTCAAACATTCGCCCTCCACAGTGTTGAATAAGTCTGTAGGATAAGACGCACTCTCTTTTTTTTTAAACCAAAACAGAATAATATCATCATTTAGCAAAATTAAATTTAAAAAAAAAAAAAGGCCTCATCTCTGCAAACCACAGATTTTGCTTCAAAAGAAAAAGAATAAAATTACCCTGCTTCTTGCTGATCCACCCCATAGTGTTCCAGCTCTGTGCCTGGAAGCGGCTGCACGGGAGGGGGTGGGAGGGGAACGCTAGCCCAGTTTGAACCGTTATTTTTCTGGGGCTTGGCAGTATTTTTGTTTTTCTTCTTTTTCCCTCCTTTGCCACCTGCGAATCCAAAAAGAAAAATAAAATGTTAGAGATATAACGTGGGGAAAAAAGCTAGCTATTTATGTTTCTTTGAAAGAATTCTGTTTCCAGATGGCATGCCCCAAAAAAGAAGACGTATTTATATCTCAGCAGAATCAGCATCAACGTGCTAATGCTGTTACAAGGTTATAAATAATAATAGAATGGAATGGAATGGAAAAATATTCTGAATAATTGCTGAAAATCACTTCTTTTTAAAACGCCTTACATTTGCACCACAGTAGTGCACAAGCAAGGAAAGACATGTTTTGCTGTATCAGAAATGTATTTACTGATTTATTCATGTCTGCTTTGTGACTTCTTGAATTCACTGTTAGATAAAAATATAACAGACCATAGCAAATTATTTCAAATGTCAGAATCCAATGTGCATATAACACTGTTTTGCATAATCTCTTTTTGTGGAAAACACAGAGGTTAAGGACACAATTTGAAAAAATTGTCATTAGACTCAATATCTTTCAGCCAGAACGACAAGTGTAAGTTGTCAAAACAAAAAGAAACAGGGTTTTGCTAACAGCAATTTACTAAGTTCCATTTTTTAAAACACCAGGAAGTCATCTGCAATATTTTAGGACTGTCTGTTTCACAGGATTCAAATATCTTGTACTACTATGGAGAAGAGGTTCTATTTCTGAGGTACTACTCTAATGGAAGAGGCTAGCAGAAATGAGGTGAGCATTGCATTTTGCTTAAGCCCCCTTCTCTTTTCTTATCGTCCTTGGACCCACTTCTCCAGTTGAGACACTTCCATTTGTGGGAAAGTGATCTTGCAGAAAAAGCTCTCTTTCCACTTGTTTTGCTTCTTTTATTTTGCCCTGACTCCTTTTTCTTGTCAGGAATTCATTAAGAGGAAGAATGGCACAAGATTTCAAATCCCTTGACTGCTTGGAGACCCATCTATTTATTGACATTTTGTTGTCACTTTCAAACTTTCTGGATTGTTGAGTGGAACAATGGTTTGGCATGTGCTTTTTTAGTGGGGTACCCAGATGGCAGTCACTCATCCCTTGCCTATTGCAGAAAGCACGGTCTAATCCATCTTACCCACTGATGTCTCTTGCTGATTTATAAGGATCAACAAAAAAACTACCCATGTAAAAAGTTCTTATCAGTAACGAATCAAAAAAATCACAATTGACTTCGAAGGCAGGGTGGCATGGTGTGCACTGGCAGGCACCACCCTCTTTGCTATGGCTCTAGCTTTAGGCATAGAGACATCCAGGAGGAGCAATTCTAGCAATAGAGACAAGCACGTGTCACAGGACTTGTCATCTGAGAGACAGTGGCTTTCTTCTGTTACCTCCAAATGTCAGCAGAACCAAAATAGGAACGAACAGAGAGGGAAGAAACAAGGTGATTCTGTGATTCAGAAGTAGCCAAGACTTCTCTTTTCACCTCCTGTTGTGGCTGCTAGAGACAGGCAACAAGTCTGGCAAGGTTTCTAATCAGCCTGGCTGGCAGCATGTTGGAAACAAGACTTTGCTTTCCATTACTCAATTCCAGACCAGAGCTCGTCCTTCTTGTCCTGGAGTATTTATAGCAAGTCCAGCCAAGATCTTGTCATTCACCATGTGCGAACTGAGCTGATAGTCCATCTATTAGGAGGCAAGACAGGCTCTTCCCTCCTTTTGTAGCCAGGCAGAGAGGGAAGCTTTCTTGAAAAGGGAAAGAATGTTTTGATCAACAGAAAAGAAACCCCAGTGATGGTGGCAACAGAGGAACAAATACATGAACCTTCTGGAGGGAAAATGAAGCTTTCAAAGCACAGGTATGGCAGAAAGAGGAGTTAGAGATAAGGTCACAGAACAGTACAAAGGAAGTAAGTTAATTTTAATTTGTGGGACATGGGGGAATTTTTTAAAAGTCAGCAGGAGTAGGAGCCAACAAGAGCTAAGACAGGAGGTGCTGCTTTGGGGGGGGCAGGGGGGAGAGAGAGCGAGTTGCATGTTGCAGGGGGATTTAAACTAGGAATACTCAGAGAAGAGAATTGCAGAGAAGAACTTCAGCTTAGAGATTAGTTGCAGTGGAAAGGAAGATTTTGGAAGTGTAGCATCTTGGTAATCTTAGGAGACTGGTAAAATGGAAGTTGGATGTGTGGAGTGCTAGTATGGAGTCACTTGGATTTGGGGGTTTTGGAAAGAAAGGTAAAAGATAACGGAGCTATTAGAAAGAGTGAAGCAGAGAGCTGAGGAACTGTTCAGATGAAGAAATAAAAGAAAGGAACTCTAAGGTCATTACTGGTAGAGAAAGCAGCCTACACTGTACAGTTGGGCAGGAGATTTCTCTTCTGTCCCCATGGGCAGAGTTACTCCACTGTCAGATTAGTGGAATAGACACCTAATACATAATGCCTGATGCGTGTTTGAAAACCGTTGCACTGAAGCCTTGTTTCCCCATAGCAATGATGCTTGATGTTTCAATGTCTCCTCACATGAAATTCAATTATATTGTTTAAATCTCTAGATGAATCAGGTCCTGGAAAAAGAATTTGCCAGTTGGGCTGATGATTATAGCACTGACACAAGCTGGGAGCTGTGCAAAGTACAGCCACAAAATTTCTCTGCCTCACAAAACAGTTGAGTTTTTAGCTATTTTCCATTCCACAGTGGGATAGGTTTTCTCATGATATTCATTTGAAAGAGACAGAAACTTAGTCAGAATAATAAGTAGTACTTGAAGTACTAACCAAGGAAGTGAGAGAACAAGTCCCTGCTCACCCTGATGGGGACTATGTAATCAAAGCTGGTCTCTGACTCCAGTGATGCTCTAATTATTGGACTATTTGAAGGTCTCCCCCAGTTTCTCATGTATTACAGACATAATTAGCCTGTATTAAAGACATAATTAGTGGGCAAGGGAGAGCAAAATACTGACTCTGCAGTCCAATAGTCTGACACTCATCTGAGCATTGGGGCATCCAAGTATGAGCTGCTTTAATCACAACAGGAGTGCCCTGGCCATAGAAAGACTGGCTAACCTGAAGTTTCCACGTGTCGTCAGAAAATTTACTTCAAACTGAGAAACACTACACAAAATATGTTTCACTTGAAATACTTGTTCGAAGTCCAGCTTTTGATCAACTGGCATATTCCAATGAAACTTTGTATTTTCTGAGAAAATTCTTAGGCAGCTGTAGCTGTCAACACATCTAAAGTGTGATACTGCCCTCTGATAACTGGCACATATGTACCTCAGAATATCAATTTCTGCATTTTCATGCACCCAGAGGAGCAAACCGATTTCCTAAGCTACTTGCCAATACATCTTGCATACAAGCAACAAGAACCTTTCCTGAAGTATCATATGAACTTAGCTCCCATATACCTCTCTGTCAATGCCATAAGCCTAGTTTTTGATCTCACTCAAATCAGCTAATACTCCCCATGAGAACACAAGACTTGCAAACACATTTGGCTATTTGAGTTATGGGCCAATGATTATAGGTTTCTAATCTCAACATTCAATTTGAAGTCATTTAAATTGACATAAAGAAGCCATTTCTAGGGTTGATCTGTTACTGTTATGATTGCTCCAACTTACAGCGGAAATTTAAAATGCTACGGATATAGTAAGAATTTGAAATTTAAGTCCCTTCAGCTCTCTCATATTTCAGTTAAGTAAATAGCAGACTTTCATTTTAAGTGCTGGCTTTTCAGTTTTTGTCTTGGAAAAAAAAAGACATAGTTATATGTAACATAAGCAACAAGTAAGCAAAATTACAGAAATCAAGACAAAGGTGTGTTTAAATATAATACACAGCCACATGTACTACAATCATTTTCACCCAATGAAAATGCATTGTGTTTCCAATATAACATGCAGCACACACATAAAATTTACATTCTGTTTGTATGCAGACTTGGCACAATTTTTGAAACCCCAGTCATCTTGCAGGGCCCTACATTTATTGAGCTGCTTCACTGAAAACCAGCATTTAGAAACAGCTCGTGGGAGTGGGGAATCCGTTAACAACTCAACAAAAAAATTAAGCTCCTCATGAAGTCCAGTGTGGGGAGACCTATAAACTGAGGACTGATGCAGAAATAGATTTGCTCCATGAACTGCGTTGTCAGGGAAAGGATGTGACAAGGCAAGGTTTGCAATTGCACTGACATGTGCTGGTCGGGAGGATTCTCCAATTATCTCCAAATAGGTTTTGCAAAAGGCATTTTTTTTTCTGTAGAGGCCAACGTGACGCTGGTCGCTGATGTTCCAGTGGGCAGGCACCCTCGTACCTATCCGCAAAGTGCACCTGGGAGGTTTTCCGCCTCCCTGGCGAGCTGCTCGCCAACACCCCTCCGTCCCTCACCCACCCACGGCGGTGGAACCAACCTGAGAGGCTGCCACTCCTTTCGGAGCTGTTGTGGGAGCTGGTGGTGCTGAAATCCTGTGACTGGTTGTGTGGCAATCTATTAGCCAATCCCTCAGCCACGCGGTAGTCAGGGATGTAAAGCAAGGCTAAGGGTTAAAGGGCAAAGGTCACAGTGGCATCGTGTGATTAGTTGACAGCACAAGCACATGCAACACATGCAGTTAGCAAGTCAACGGCAGATGTGGTGGGGCAGCAAGTTTTAAATTGTCAGTTTTTAAATGTATACCTAACCTAGCCTAATGGAAGACAGATGGCTTGATGACAAAGAGGATTAAAAGCACAGAACAATATATTTTGTGATTGTGTGAGGTTCAGCACGCATGCAAGGTATGTAAGCATTAGTTACGGTAAATTTGAACAGTGTCTCACATACTAAAAAGATTTTTCTAATTCATGCATAGACGATACAGTATAAAACCAAGGGCTCTGGAAAACAAGAGCTGTAATTACCATTGTTGCCTTTGCCTTGGTCTGGGAGAGAGTAACCGAATCCCATCAGGTCATTTTTTTGCTGAATTGAGCTTTTCCACTGAGGATCAGGTAAGTCAACAGCCAACTCATGGATGCTGTTGGAGTGCAGTATCTGGGTGGTGGCATATGGCGTGGCTTGCGTTATTTGGCTGGAACTGTTGTAACTAGTTTTCGTGGTGAAGTCAATGCTGCTGTAAATGGCTCCATCAGAAAGCATAGTAGCGGTTTTATCTCCTTGCCCTGGCACTGGTGGCAGCACATCTGTGGTGAACATAGGGGAATGAAACAAATCATTGATGCACAGGAAGCCTGAAAGTATCAAGGTTTAAGATGAAAAATAAATGTGTCATTTTGCACGTTTGCATTTCGGCTGAGACAGGTCCATGAGCCAACGAAGGGAAGATGATGTACAACCATTGCCAAGCTATCAGCATCTGTGACAGGCCTACCACTTGTCCTTCACGTCTCACTGCCTAAAACCATCTTTTTTTTCCCATACCTTCAACTGTGAAAGTGAAATTTGGAATATTTCTCTACTGAAGAATGTTTTCAATTGTTCAGTCTATGTCAGAACCAATGAAACTGTCTGGGCTTCAGGGAAATGATGAAAGGAGTGAATCTACAAATTGCAGAGGAAACTTTCCCAGCAAATACGTAGCAAAACTCTTCAATGGATGCCAAAGCTCTCAAACCAATTTTTTAAGCACATCACCTTGACTCCCTTGAAGTTTTATGCATCAGTTTATCTATTGTCTTTTTGACATTAGCTAGCACATTTCTCCTTTTTAACAAAAGAAAAACCTGACAAAACCAAGGTGTTCCTGATATGTTGAAGAAAATCTGTTATTGTGAAGGGATTTAAGTGGTCAGTCTCTTAAAAAGGCAAAGCAGTGTTGATAATAGAGAACAACTTCTTCAAATACTCCAGTATATTTACCTGAAAACCAGTGCAGCATATTTAACTAAATATCTGTCGACTTTTCTACATCTTTTGAATCCTATCAGGCACTGCAATTTGTACCTTTAATCAGTTAGATTGGCAATCTCTCTCCTTACTAAACATTGTAGTGACCTTTGCTGGTGGAATACTAGATTTGGAAGCTGAGACTACTGAAGTGTGAAGAATCTAATGATGACTGGCATGATGTCCCAAGGAGAACCACAGCTCAGCAGATAACCCTCTTCCTGCTCTCTCAGAGGTCAATATATCAAATGGTACTATTTTTACAATTCAGACTCTGAAAAGTTGAATCCATTCTGGAATTTGCTTGTTAGAAAAATGCATCATTTATTTGCCATTTGCTTTATATAGCCGGATGGCAACTGTTAGATCGTACTTGAGATAATGCATACTCCTATGGTGAGGATGTTCAGATCCCATTCTAGGTATCACAGACATTTTTAAATTTTTATCTTAAGCCCCAAAGAGAAAAGATGATTCTTCCACCTACACAAGGGTTTAGGCTCAGTTCCTGAATCAGACATGGGTTTTGTGCCACCTCAGGGAATACAGTTGTTCTCTCACTGTCTCAAGACTTTTCCAGCAATGAGACATGATGCCATGGCCTCCTTCCACTGGTTTTGGTTTTTTTTTTGGTGTTTTTTTTTTTTTCCTGGGATGAACATTTAGACCACACAACTATTTTATTCTGCATTCATGTGTGCAACAGTGAACATTTTAATATGGACCTTAATAACATCTGCAGTCTCAGGGCAACAACATAATATTAATGATAAATATGGCAACAAGTGCTCAGTAGAGAGACTGCAGAAACAGAGATTAAATTTGGGTCTGTCGGTATGATCTGGTTTTGCAGACAACAACAACAGGGAAATGGGCACAATCAAGTATTTAAAATGCCTTAATTGTATTAACTTATATCTGCAGATAAATTGTAAGTGCAAAAAAATTACAATTAATGCAAACTACAGGTCATATTTCAAAATCAGGTTATTACTATCTATCTGCACATATCCAATTTGATATCTAGGGGCAGTACACAATCATAAAAGCATCTATGTGCAAATACGGCATGAGATGTGAGAGACAAGCGGATTCCTATCTTTCTTGCATTTCATTAAAAATATGAAGATTTTTCCTTTCCACAATTGGTTTCATCGAAGTATAATAGACTGAAGTTCAGTAAATAAATTCTGTTGTTGATGTATAAAATGAAGTAAGTCCAGCTCAACCTGTCTGTGTTGGATTTGCAGACTCACGGAAGTAAAAACTAGCAAAATGCTCATCTCTCAAGTACTCAGACGTACATCTATCTTTCAGAGCACGTTTCTGGCAACTGAAGAGGTATCATCTCTATACAGTCATTTCAAAATGGAGAACTATACATTTGCACACACTTGAAAGGAAAGTTGCATAGCTTCCCACCAGCCAAGAATTTTCAGTCATTCTTACTAATAGGCTGAGGTTCTCCAGACATTGTGGGAATTTTCAGTACAACCACAGATTACTTTTTTGACCTCAATGAGATGTATACACTAAGCGCTCAAAGAGCTATTAAAGTGCCATTTTACCAAGTGACATAATCACCTAGTAAAAATCAAGTGTGATTTTCCCACCAAGTTGTCATAGCAAGAAAACCACACTGTACATTTCAGAGCAAAGATGAACATACATTTCCCACTGGATGCTTTCCCAAAAACTCTCCAAAATCCAACTTGTTTTGTAACTCTTGAGATAAATGAAGTAGTGCTGAAGTACTTCCTGAGGGAAGCTCTTTCTTGCTGCCTCAGAAGAAGCAGTAACATTTTGAGGTGTTACACGACTCCAAACCTAACCTGTGCTTCCTATTCACAGCCTTGCTCTCAAGTGCCTATCCAGGATGTAATGTGGATTTCATTCTTAAAGGCAATGTTAGAACTGCCTGCCTCAGCTTCTGAGTTTCCGGAGTGATTGATTGCCACCTTACTGTTTTCAAAATTCTTACAGACCTTTTATATTATCATAGACCTTTTAACCAGTAAAAAAGGCCCAAGTTCTATCTATACAGTTGAATCATGTTAAAAGATATCTGGCTTCTAATCCATCTTTAATGCAGAAGCATCCAAACTCAACTGCTGAAACAGATAGGGATAAGTGGTCCCGAAACAGCCAGAAAAAAAGTGTGAGCTCAACTGTGAAGATCATGGGTGGAATTAAGCTGCTGAAATTCCAAATATAACTGTTGCATCTCTTGGACAAATTTGGACCTATGCCTCAGCCACATTGAAGCCAAAAGCTTTAAAATATGCTTCCAATTTCAGTCTTATAGAGCCAAATGCTAAAAGAAAATGGTAATTTTTTTGTATTATGTGAGCTTATGGAAAGATGGAAAAGTACTGAAGGGCTTTATTTTCAAGACATTCACAACAAAGAAGCTGGCAGATATTCAGTTGCCTTCTAAATATTATCAGAAGTTTTGCTTACTTTATAACATTTTTCTAAGACAAGAACTTTACAACATTTTTACATGGAAAATAAATCTGGAGTGTTTTGTTGTAATTTGAAGTCACAGTAGTCAAACCACAGGCAAGAAATTTTGCATGGGAACGTATAACTGATGTGAAGGATGGTTTTCAGAAGTAGATTCTGTACAGTTAAAAACTGAATTCTTTTGACATTTATCAGTTTGATGGTTTTATAGATTTGTTGCATTTTAATGTACTTTTGATATAAAAAGTTGTCTTGATTTTTGTTTACTTATTTATGTCTTGAAAATATTTATATACTCATTTACATCAGGAAGCCTTGTTCTGAATACCACCATGCAGAACTAGCTGTGTTATAACATCACAGAAACCAAGGAAGTAACAGAGAGATGTGAATATTACTACGACTTTTAAAAATCCCAATGACACATCTTGAAATTCCCATTTGAGAAAAATGTTTGAAAGAAAATAACCCCTCTAAAGATTCATCACCATAATTATAAATCATTACCTCATCTCCCCAAAGGGCCTCCCTCGATTCAAAATGGAAATAAAACCCTAAAAAATCTAAATAGTTCCCTTTTATGTATTCTTTCCTCCAATAAGAAGGAAAGTTTCTGAAGACCTTTGAGGCCTTCTTCATGGATTATGGCTGAGACTGAGCGCAGTCTGTCAGCAGGAAGGGGATGGGTAAGGTGACAGCAGCAATGTTCTTCTGACCTCCTTCTGCTGAAGAAACATCCTTCCTGCATGCCCCGAGTTCTTCTCTGCTCTTATGGACATCCTCTATCCCTAGCTACATTGCCCTGCACAGCAGATTGCTCACGTCCACACAAAAGGGAATGAGTCTGAGCAACAAATACATTTCTCTTGAGATGATAAGCAGACCCTGTCTCACCACTATGGGGCAAATGACAAACTAGACCTACATCTTAAAGAAGTGGAAAGAGACAAAGCAAAATGAACATTTTAAAGTCAATTTTAAATCAAATCTTGAGTCAAACATAGAAAGAAATATAATGATAAAAATATTACACAGTGTTTATCATAGATGTTAACTAACAGAAGCCTATTGTATCCTATACGGTGACTTAATAAAATGAAACCTACCTCCACGACCGAAATTGCCAAGATCATTGGGTCCACTAGTGCTGTTGTTTACTGGCAGACTTGTGGCAGGCCAAGAGTCTGCAAGCCAAGGATAGCTGGGGTCACTTGCATTCAACAGACCTGGGCGACTGAAGCAGAATAAGAAAAAAAGATATACATACAAAAATATATACATATATATGTTTACAAAATCAAAATATCTGTGAGACAACTAGTGATTGAAGAGACCATATCACTGTTCTCCTAACACTGTAGGTAACAAATAGTTTAGGAGACTTTCATTTATTTCAAATTAAAATTGTGTAGCCTTTGCTGATTTAAAGACCTTGGGTAGTTAATTAAGGATATATACAAATCAACTTTGTCAGTAGAAGTGGGACTAGGCATCCGTCGCGATTCTGCCAGAATCCAAATGAACTCTGTTGTCTCTGTGAAACAGTTTAGGCAGCACCATCACAGGATCCTACACCAGGACTGCATGATAAATTACCACCTCAAGGGAGCCATCACTCAGACTGATTGCTCCATATCAGCCATTTCCAGGACTTTGGGCTACTATGTCTTGCCTCCCTTGCATCCCAAATGCACGCCTGTCATCTACAGGCTGGTAACTCTTTCTTTGAGCACTCTTGGATGGTTTGGAGGCAAACAGGTTTGAGTAGGATTAATGGAAAGTCCACAGCTATCTTTGCCTGCCACTGCTGCATGGCTTTTATATCCCTGTAATTCCCAGCTTTGAGAGCAGTATTAAACAATGAGTATGCTGAAAGAGAAGGTATGCTCGGGCCATAAGGCACCATGTGTCTCTCACCCCAGGATAAACAGCCAGAAATTTAGCAAGGCAGGTGGATTGTTTGTATTTGTATTTAACAGGGAAAACAAATCATTTCCTGCAGACCCCCCTTCCCCCAAACAAAAACAGAAAACCATCCACAGTTCTGCGGCTTTTCTAGGTTATTAATGCACTCATGAAGTTGGAGCAGCATCTCCGATCATTGTACGTTATAGACCCCCGCCTGGCACAATCCCTAAGAGAAACATCGGTTTCTATGGAAACAGCAATAAGAAGACCCAGCCGCTTTCTTGCCACATCTACTCACTCTCATTAGGCCTAATCTCTTTTTGCTAAAATATTGATTAAAAGGGAGATTGGAAGTTATTACCAGGGCCTAATTACAATCTCCATATTGGCAAAGGGAAAATAGATGAGGATATATGGGCCCGTTATCAGCTTTTATCAATTTCAATTGAGTAGCCAAAGTTGTGGAATCCAGTCCTATCAATCTACAGCCTATTCATCATCCATGAATCATTTATTTTGTGATCGATTAAGTGTAATTGTTCACTCACAGCAATTTAGGGGGAGCCAATAAGGAGTCTTAAACAACAGCAACTTCATTTGCTAATGTCTAATTAATGCAATAAACATCCCGGTAACAAATGAACACATTCCTTGTGATATTTACTACTCATTTCTTCCAGGGCATCTGGGAGATATGAAACATCTGGGCTTGATTCCTCCAACGTGCACAACAGATAGGTCATTAAACCTTGTCGTAAGCTACTTATCTCCTTCTAGCATTGTCAATCTTCCAAATGATTGGTTATTACCCAAGTGTGTCACCTATAGCATTTTTCAGATCCCTAATTTTAAAAATAAATAGGATGGAAAGACCTTTATACAAAGAAACATACCTTCCATTGCTCATTAGTCCTCCATCTCCTCTTTGGAAAGTGACTGTGTTTCGGTTGGAAAAACAAAACAAACACACACACACACGCACACACATATAAGACAGGGAAAAATCAATTAGTGATAATTAAAAGTAACAATTCAAACTGCTCAGTGTCTGAGATCGGAAGTCTCTTGGCATCATCACATAATAAAAGTACAGAAAATATGAGAAAAGGATCAAACACGTTAGGGTTACAATTTGTTTAGGATTTCACTGCACCTTATTGACTAACATCAATTTGCTCCGTAGCTTGCAAGGCAAACCAGCCGCCTGTGTAAAAGGCCTGAATTTACCACAGGTCTCTTCATCTGACTTTGCGTTGCAAGACTGTGCCATGTGATGAAATTGTTTTCTTGGCATGCTTTTGCTTCAGTACATAATGACATTGCACCAGTGAGTTAATAACGTCACGTCGTAATGCAGTAATATAATGTCACCACACAAATATGCCATTTCCCAGGACATATACGAAGAGGTGGCAGCTCTATTAGAGCTGAAGGGGTGAAAAAAGCATACAGCTGCACCATTTCCATTAAAAATACAGTATAAGAACCAGCACCCGCATATAAATGCATACACACCAGTATCACTGGGATTCCAGTCTTGCCATGGGGGATGCCAAGGATACGTTCAGAGGGAGACAATTGTTTTTATGGCTCCATTCATGGCTGTCTGACAAAAACCAGCCTATCCCTTATCTATCTGATTAAAAGGATTACACTTCAGGGCAATATAGGTAAATCCACATTACTGGTGTGATGCTAATTGACAACATTTGATGCTCCTTTTTAAAGCATTGGCAAATATTTTGAATCAAGGCCAACAGACCACTCTGGTTCTCAGTGGCAATATCCCATTATTTATTGTCAGGCATAGATAAGGCAGACTGTTAAATTATATCAGTGTCCTGGGCACCTGCATCCTTACAGGCCTCTGACAAGATGAGGGTTCGAATTTCAGAGAGGAATGGAAGAGTCTGTGGCCAGTTTAATTAAAAATAGGCCTTGGTTTGGAAATACTATTTACCTTTGTGAGACAGACATTCCCATCATTAAATTATAGCTCCCACAGTATTTGCAACATTTTCCAAATATTAGTCCAAACTACACTAATTCAAGGTTAGGCTTTCTATTATATATGATTCTAATCAGACAAAATTACTACACCCAATAGAAATGCTGTGATCATTAATAAATTTCGCAATGATATAAATCCACTGGGAAAATACTTCTGATACCTTATAGAATTCTTGTCACTTTATTAACTCCTAGGATAATTTCCCAGTCTACATTCAGCAAAGGGGACAAAACTGGCCCCTCTGGAAGCCCTGCTGGAAGAGTGCTCGGGTAGGGTGATTAATTACCCTTCACTGCAGAACAGACTAATATCAATATCAGAAAATCACTGCAGTCGTATGTCACATCAAAATGGTTAATAGCTGAATTTTGAAAGGATGTAATCAAACCAATTAATGAAAAGAAAATCAAAATGCAAGTATGGGAAGTATTAAATAAAAGTCTGCTTTGAAAAACAAGACATGGTAAAACATTGCAGCTAATTAATTTTAGAGCCGATGCTACTTTAATTCATGTTGTTTCTAACAGGCTGTCAAATGACTGTGTCACTCGTTTCTTAAAAGTGAATAATCTGAAGTGCTTGGATACCATGTGTGAATATGCAAAGAGGTGGGTACTGCCTGGCTACGTTTCAAAGTATGTTGGTCAAAAGTCCATCAAATGCTGTTTCCTTTCTCCTCCTCCCCTTCAAATTTAATACTTCATTTCTGCAACTTTCTGCATTTGTCAAAACGACAAGAAATAAGGAAAATGAGAAACAAAGGCACATTTAGTAACAACCCTTATAAATAAAGTTTACAGATTTAAGGGAATTCCAGTAAAACATATTTTCTGAAAACTTCTTGGGATTAATGCTCTTGTTTAGACTATTCAACTACCAGAAATAATTTTGAAGTAATATTGTCACCACTTGCATAACACATACAGCTGTGTGAGATTTTAACCATGCAGGTCACGTGGAAAAAAAATCACTACTTGTGGTCTTCAAAATATTTATATCCCTTGTGTACCTTTATAAAGCAAAGCTAAAATGGGGGAGCTAGTAGGAGATTGCAGCAATATTTGCCAGACACATTTTATTTTCTGTGTAGTGAGGTATGGAAAAAACTCCAGGGCATGCTGTGAGAAACATATCAAGAAGACATGACATCAAAACCTCTTCGCTAGAGCCATAATTGCTGCAGATTGGCTGTGGCATATGAGCTTGTTGAGAAGAGATGGGTATCGCAGCATTTACTCTTTTTCTTCTATCTGTGTATCCTGGTGGTAGTAACTGCTTCCTGTTTTTTTCCTACCTTAAATAATCTTACAACCTCCCAATATAAGCACTGTTTTTAGAAGAAAGGTTCAGCTTAGTTTATTAAAAAAAGAACTTGTCTTGCAGTGACATTGTTTTTCCTGGGGAAGACTGCCTGGCTTATGTGATGTGTATGGAACTGGGAAGGAATACAGGTACTTTCATTTACCCTCCAGCCTGTATACCAATGCACGGATGGTTATAGTCTTCATGAGAAAATAAACAAGAAAGGATTTTAGTTACTATTCTTGGTGGAAAAGGCTCTGGAATATCAACTAAGCTGGCCAAAATTCCTCTTGAAGTATGGACATGTCATCAGGATGTTACAGAAAAAAAGTCATATTCCTGATGCCATCCATAAATGAGCTACCTGAGGGTGCGTAGAGAAGGTGCCTTTCTTTCAGCATCAATATTGTGAAAGGAAAGACAGCTAACAACAGAAGACGTGGTCAGGCTGCCAACACAAGCACTATGTTTATCATTCCTGCCGTACGTTTTGTCAGCATTTTTGCCTGCAGTTTGATTTCTGCAATTACAAAACAAGTCTAAACACCTGAATAGGAGCATACTTAATGCAATGCAGGCTTGCAGATGTCACTGTAAAAATAAAACACACAGACAGCTGGCTTTATTCATCCTGTCTCCACTTCAAAAAGAAGCAGAGCAATTTCAAGGGGCGATGTAAGAGGAGGAAGGGAAGGATGTCCCTATCACTGACCCACCCATCTCCCTTGCTTTTTATCACTGAGGAAGCAAAAAAGCTCTTTCAGCACTCTTTGCATCTGATATATGTTCTTAGAAAGGCTGAAGACCTGCAGGGATGAGATTGGTTTTCAAAAGAAGATGAAAAAATAACCTCTGCATAGAGAGATTTTGAAGGAATCCCCACCAGCTTATATTCAAGGACTGTAAAAATGCAGAAATGTAATCCAAAGTGCATTTTAAATGCATAAATATTTAAGAAAATGATATTGTATATATTTGTATGAAGAACAGCATACGTTAAGGAGCTTTTTACATGCTTTTTATTAAACATATAAGGAGGTACCCAAACCATTTACTAATATTATCTGACAAGGTTAAACTTAATCTTCATGCCTGCTAGAATTGGAAAAATATGAATGTATAGTAAGTTGACATTCTGAGGCAAGAAAGCTTTAGAAAGCTTTAGAAAGCTTTCTGTATGCCTATCTCTAGTAGGCCACATTTTCCTACTGCAAATGAAAACTTTAATGTTGCCAGCCAAGTCTCATTCCTTTTTCTGATAAGCTGTTCCTCAAATATGAATGTAGATTAATCCTCTTTTAATAAGCATTAACTCAGAACAGATAATCAGCATATAAAAATTCCATCAAATCTTCTGTCTACCTCTGGATGATTCTGTCAAATAATTTATCCTCATTTAACAGTTTCAGGAGTTGTGCATAAAGTGTGTAGCATTCCAAAATTCTCTATCTATTTTTAATTTGTTTTTGTTTACTCAGTTACATGAAATCTTTAATCCCAAGGAGCACTAGTCACTAAATAAGCTTACCTACTCACAAGTGAAAGTACATATTTACTTTCTTTGCATGACTGATGGCCTAGACACTTGAAAACACCTGAGTATTCAAGTGAGTGGGTACTGGCACAAAAAATGAGTTTGAGGGCACAGGAAAGATAAGGAGATAAATGAAATTTCTCTTATTTCTACAAATGGATTCCATGCCTTTGTTGTATAAGTCCTTATACCAAAATGTGAAAAGAGAATTGCAACTTCCAGTACAAAATAAACAAATTCTGTTCTGTCATTGTAATATGGGAATGAAACAATTCATCTGTTATACAAGAAGTGGTCAGATATCTCTTTTGTGCCACATATCTTTTCTTGTATCGTGTAGAAACCCACAGTGCGTGTTTATATCCAGGCAAGCTGAGTAAAGGATAACCATAAAAATACAAAAAGAACAGTGCAGCAATACTTTAGCTTTTACAGAAACTCACAAAAGTAAGACCAGTCCATCCTTTATATCACAGAACAGATGACTGAAAATGGGTAACATCTGTATTTAGTGTCTCTGTGCCAGATTTGGTTTTGCTGATAGTATGTCATGGTCTCAAAATGTATACTTCTTGTAGAGCTGCAGATGATGACACTCCTACTTACTAGTAGTAATCTAACAAACATAGTCAAAAATCATATGTTTTTTAGTACTGATATTACTGCGAATCAATGCCTGGTGAGTCATGATGGGGGAAAGGGAAGTGGAGGAATAGTGATGTACAGAAGTGTGACTCAGTAACTACTGGAGTCAGTTCAACTGTAAAAAAAGTAAAAAGATTTAGCTATGACTTTCAATGTCACTATATTTGTGACCATCTGAGCAATCAATCAGTGCTTATGAAAATGTTCACAAAGACAGAAAGCTTAATGAATTTAACTCAATCAATTATTCTTCTCTGGCACAAATCTTTACCAATTGTGTGACATTTGCTGCTTGCTCTCCTCCTACAGAGTGTTACAGTAGTTTAGTCACACAGCAGAAATTATACATCTTAGGAGCCTAATAACAGAATACAAATAACAAATAGTCCCAGTGAATGACCCATAATCTGAAAATGACCTGAAAGAACATTTTTTGCAAGTAGTTATGTAACTGTAGAATCCAGACTTTTAAACAATTATTTTTAGTGCTTTAAGTTCTACATATATGCAAATACAACTGAAGAAAAACAAAACAAAAAGCATTTACATCAGAAATAACTGAAAAGATAGGCTATTGATTTGTGTCTGAAATAGAGTAAGTAATGAATGTTCCACTAATACATTCAATTCTCTTTCTTATGCAGACAAATCTGCATGTTCTCCAAATTTCTGAAGGAAAAAATTAAAGCAGATGTCTGAACAAAAAGTGTGCACCTTCTAAAATCTGAGTATATTAGGATAAATTAATCTTTAGTAAAACTTTATTGACAGCTGTCTCTGATGAGATTCTGAAGCCTACATACCACTGTCTGAATATTTAGATCTGAAACCAAACTGTTTATGAATCATAACTTTGAAGGGAACAACATACAGCTGTGAGTGTAATCAAACCTCCACAAGCATAGATATGTTTCTCCAAATGATATTACCAATGGCAAATTCATCTATTAGGGAACCAAAGATGTTTCTTAGGGAACTCTGGGCATAAAGATAAAAAACATGGACTTTGTTCTTTCATAAGAACAACACTTTTTTTTAAATGAATGATATTTTTTTTGGACTTGACTACTGGATGACTTAGGTTCTCAGTGCCTCCAGAAGTGACTCTATCAGCCAGGAAATAGAACTATGTGCTGTTACAGTTCCATAAATCCATGAGATGTCAAAGCTATTTTTAAAAAAGCAAGTTTTTGGCAGTGCCTCTGACATATCCTAGTTGCCCAACACATGTGAATCAACTGCACTGAATCATGCACAGTCACTGTGGTTCCAGCACAGCCCTGTGTCATGCCAATGTATGGTACAAAGGCAGTGATAAAAACTCACCACAGTTACAGACTGCTGACAGTGGCATAATCATACGAACCAAATGCAAAGATGCATTATTACATTTTGGAAAAAACCCTGTGTTGTGTCTCAAAGAAAAGCAAGTAAAGCGTTTAGGGTAGGATGTGTTGTGCCACAACTTACACTAACTTGAACAAACCTGCCCAGAAGCCAGAGGAGCAATTCCTGAGCCCCCAGAGCTTCTCCACGAGGACGCTTCTCCCTCACAATGTCACAGGCGCCTGGGGCAGACACCACCACCACCTTTGCTCATCTGCCTCGACAGTCATCTGCTCTTTCCTGCTAAGCTAAACACTCAAGCCTTGGCTGAAGATAAGCAAGAACGAGAAAGCAGCTAGCTGGGCACGAGGACCTGTTCAGCCGTGCGGTAGGAAGACTGGCCTCTATCACACGGATGGCAGAGGGGACAGAAGAAGAGACAGCTTTGGTAAGTGCAACTGAGAGGCCAAGCTACACGCAGAAAACTCTACAGCCTTCTGCTGGAAAATGCTGAGATTTTTCAGCCTTTTACACTGTAACACTGAGGTATAATTATTTTTGAGTTTTTGAATCTCGAGCTTAGGTATGAGAGCAGAAGCTAATTACTTGTATTAATTATTACTATTAATTGCATACTCTATTTTTCCTGGCTATCCATATGTTGACTAAGCTGTTTGCAACCTGCTGTTTCAGCCACACTTCGTTTATTCTTCACATATCTTTAGTCATGCTTATGATAATGGTCTGCTGTATGCTATGTTTATTAAAGATATGAAAACTAGGCTATCAGCTTTGAATTGGGTGGGCAGAAAAAAGAAAATGCTTCAATTCCAAAAACCCTGTGAAGGCAATGCATGCATAGGTTAATCACTAGATTGCTTGAAGACCTGAACGCCTCACAGTAAGGCCAATGTATACGCAACTAACAGCTAAAGTGGAAGAAAGTTCCATTTGCCAGTTAGATCTTCAAAAATGTTTGAGAAACTTTTTTTGAGCTTTAAAATAAAAATTCAGTTACATATGACTAATGCTTGTTTATGTTAAGTTAGTTCAAGCATCTTGTCCTGCAAATTACTTTCAAGACTGCATTATTTCAAGGAGTTAGATGAGTAAGAAGTATGCAGATTTATAATGACAGAGACAATGAGGGTGGTAGATTTTATGTCCCCCTGGAATCACTAGGAGAACGAATGCTACATTTTTATCACAGATAGGCAGCAGAAGTATTTCTCCTTATATTTGGTTTTCATTCTGCATATCTCACATGTTCATAAACACTTAGCTAATGTTTGCAATGACGTGCTGGTGAGGTAAGAGACAGACTAATGGACAGTACCTGCAGGGGTGAAGGTGAAGGACTGAACTGCAAAACAAGAAAGCAAACACATTGTGAGTTACACACCCTGATAATAAGCGCTAATTGCAGGGCACGAGTTTCCTCTGGAATTTACTCAGTTGTGGTTGAATATCATAAGCAGGACATAACAGTTGAGCTTAAAGCACTAACCAGCCAGCAGCCAATGAGAAATGGTGGTTGGAAAGGTGAGCAGTGAATTTCGACAGTCACATTTGAAGACTTTCTGTGTGGACATGCTGTTCTCCAAATTGTAAACATTAGGATGAGTTTTGAAGCATGATCTCTTATGAACTTTCCTTGCTGAAAGCATACACTATTTCATAATTATGATGATGGCAATTCTGTGTCATAATGCAATGTTCACATTACACTTAGATGCAGCAAACATCATGAGAAGGAATGAGTTGCAGGAGACACACTGTTTATAATGACTATTATAATTATTTACAGCTGTGCATTTTAAGTTATAAAAGACTTTGCTCTCAATCTCCCCTCCCCAACATTCCAACTTACATACAGGGCTAATTATTCTGCTTTTTAAAAAAAGAGTAGTCTTAGCTTATGTGCAAAGTTTACGTATAGGACTGTTTCCTAAGAGGAATAACAGTACAGCTGTCTCTTAATATGAAAAATCTTGGGATGTAGGCTGGTATTTCATATAAACACCTGTGTAGGTGTGTGTGATATATATTGGTTTCTCAATTAACACCACCCCACCTCTCAGAGAGTAAAAGTCATTGCTGTTAAAGGAAAGAAGAAAACACCTCAGCAAAAAGCATAACCTATGAATGATACAGGCCACATGGTGAGGCAAAGTGAGGTTCCACAGAAACTGAGTCAGTCCAAGAGCCACTGAAAGGGTCCCTCCTCCCTCTGCTTCCACTGCTCGTCTGATTTCTTCTTGGGATGCCTTGTTTCACTAAGCCAGTGGAAAACTAATCCAGCAGGAAGGGTTGAAAAACAACAGAATAGTTTCCTTCTGATGTAGGGAGCCCAGTCAGGACATTGGGGAGTATGAGGATGGCTAACGCCAAGGTGAGGAGGCGTAAGACTCTTTGGCTACGAGCAGGGAATGAACGTTGGTTTTTGGCAAGTTGTTAGAGGTGCTCAGCCACTTAGGGAACCTGTGTTCTCAGGTTCACATGTGATAACTCGTAAACAGAAGAGTACTAGTGTAACTTTAGTGTAGTATAAGGTCAACATTAAATATGCTGTGTCCTCAACTGTGCAACTCTTGCTCAAAAAGGAAGTGTTTTCTCTTTTTAAATGTTAATAAGCCCTACAAAAGAACGTACCCCAATATTTGAAGAACAGCTTTTTTGTGTTAAATTAGGCTTCAGAGTGACCTATTTTATGGTAATTCACCTGACTTCCTAAAAATCCGTAAGAAACCTGAAGCACAGAATAATACAGAAAACAGATTGGGTGAAGAAGAAAATATTTTCCTTTGGCAAATGTATTTATTTTTCCAAATGCAGTTTTCAAAAACTAATTTGTAACTGGAGCAACACATTTGGTGCAAGAGGGATCACACTGTGAGGGCATTCCAAGGTGCTCTACCTCCAAGACAAAACTTTTTACAGCTCCTGCCATAGGTAAATTCTGACAGCAGTTCTCTGTCTAATACATCACTCTCTTCTCCTCCAGCTACAGGTATGGAGTCACTGATTAAGTACCTCTGTTCATTTCCCATGCACTTCTAATGTGGCTTCAGACACATGGAAATGCATGGGAATGAAGAAGACCAAATACTCTTTGTAACCTTCCTTGTAAGAGTCTAGTCTAATTCACATTGGAGCACATAAACGGAGCCGGACCGCCAACAGAGTGCCTTCTGAGCAAGAAGCAAGAGGTACGGTTAATCCTCTTTGTACTTTTTTATGCTAGATGTGCTGGAGATGTAAAAATAAAGACTGTCTTATGATAATGATGAAATGTGGTACTGAGCAATGCATTTAAAGCTTGTCATACACCAGCATTTTCACAACAGACATTTAAAACAAGCATACAAAATTCACCCAGGCCACCTTTGCTGTGAGTTCAACATATTTTTAAGTAGGTTTAACAGCACCTGTTCTCTTCATGATAGAACCTGATGAGGTGGTAATAAATAGTTACTGTTCTTACCAGCGTAATTGCTGAGCCCCTTCCTCTTCTTTCTGCGCCAGTACAGCCAAATGCTGAAACCCATCAGAATTACCCAACATGCACCACCGATGCCAGCTATAAAGGCAGGCTGTTTGACAACATCAGTGATTTGCTCAGTTATGCTGTTGTTATTTTCAGTGATGACAACTTCGTTACGACCTCCTGCACAAAAGAAATTCGACAGAACATTGTTATTATGGATTCTGTAATACAAACAGGAACTAAGTACTGCAAATGACAATTAAAAAACCTAGTAATACACCTCAAAAGAATTATCCACAGTAGGAGAGCTTTAATGAATACCAATGCACAACTGAAAACCAGTGGTTTTAGAAAGTAAGTCCATAATCCATTGCACTTTTGCAAACATATATTTGAAAATATAAGCTCTATAGCACTCTCCCAAGTAATCTAACAGATGACAGTCCAGAGCCTTTTTTTAAAAAATATACAAATTTGTTGGTTTGTTTTTACATAATTACAGGCAGAATACAACAATGAGAAAATGGATCATAGCAAACCAGTCAAAAAAAAAAAAAATCAAGCAATCAATAAATAGCTTTTTCCCACTGAGAAATCCAAATACAAAATATACTACAACATCAAAAGACAGTTCCTTCTCTCATCGTTGTCAGCATGCCAAAAAATCTTAAGTCATTTGTTTTTGCTGCATGCTAATGTTTCCAAATTTAAAACAAAAAATAAAATATATGTATTTTCAACTGGGGCAAAGATGAATTTCCAGCAATTATTTCATGGGGAAAACAATCCATACAAATCCTAAATGCACCAGCTTTGACACAAAGCAGAAAATCATGTAGTTAACTGTAAGCTCTGAAGAATCACAGCAACAGATGCTATTTTTTACGCCTAGAATAGGCATGAAAAATTCTTAACATCAACCTGTAAGAAATAATTATGATGTGGAATACCAATTAGTGTGACATGTATAAAAAATTACTATATAGGATCTTAAATTGTGTATATTACATTAGTGTCGTGGTTTAGCCCCAGCCAGCAACTAAGCACCATGCAGCCGCTCACTCACTCCCCCTACCCCGATGGGATGGGGGAGAGAATCGGAGGAGTAAGAGTGAGAAACACTCCTGGGTTGAGATAAGAACAGTTTAATAATTGAAATAAAGTAAAATAGTAATGCTAATAGTAACAGTATAATAATGATAATAATAATAATGATACACGAAGCAAGTGATGCACAATGCAATTGCTCACCACCTGCTGACCGATACCCAGACAGTTCCCGAGCAGCGATCGCTGCTCCCTGGCCACCCCCCCCCGCCCCCCCTTTCTATACTGATCATGACGTCACATGGTATGGAATAGCCCTTTGGTCAGTTTGGATCAACTATTCTGGCTGTGCCCCGTCCCAGTTTCTTGTGTGCCTGGCAGAGCATGGGAAGCTGAAAAAGTCCTTGGCTAGCATAAGCAGTACTCAGCAACAACTAAAAACATCAGCGTGTTATCAGCATTCTTCTCCTACTAAATCCAAAACACAGCACTATGCCTGCTGCTAGGAAGAAAATTAACTCTATCCCAGCCGAAACCAGGACAATTAGAAAACTGTAAATTTCAGTAGATGCTCCCATTGGCTTTTTCCCCCCTTTCTCAAACAGGGAACTTTTCTAAAAGAAAAAAACTTGGTGTCTGGTTTGAAAACAAGTGCTCATAAAAAATGTGAATGGAAATTCAGGAAATGCTAAAGCATACAATTTTAGGGCCAGCACTTTTCTAATTCAAACCTTCCCTTGTCAAAAATGGTTAGTTTTAAAATTAGGAAACGCGGAACATATTTTTCTGCAAAAAATATGAATATTGATTATATGTACATTTGATATAAACTGCCCACATCTGCAGTTTTGAAAATGGTGAAAGAATTATCCATCATCTCCAGTAAAAGCCTTTATATACCTCAATCCTTGAAATGTTTATGCAGTATTATCAGATGCCTGTATGCATGCTGAAGAGCTGCAAGAGTAGCTACTCTGCTGAGACAAAAAAGATGCAAATACTATGATTCTCAGTTTTGACAGTCTATCTCACACATGTAAAGGTAGTAGAATATGGCGATAAAACACTGAAATGGTCATTCAAGAGGAAATTATTAAAAGTATTGTAGCATTATGCCTTGCCGTGAAAACGTACGTATTCCTCTTCTATAATTCAACAACTGTTAAATTTACCGCTCACTTCTTTCAAAAGAACAGCCCCTGTGTCAGCACAGTGGCTTCAGCCTAAAGCAAACAAATGAGGTCTTTGGCCAAAGCCGATGGGAGAAGTCTGACACTTCCAGTTTTATTTCCACGGACACCTCTTTGCAGGAGACCCAGAGTTTACAGCAGCCAAGTTGCGAATGAGGATCCCTCCCAGAGGGCCCGGCGGGCTGAGCGCGCCTGCCCTGCCCCGGCT